CCGCGGAAATAAAACTGCCATCTAACGGCCTGGTGGTTCAGTTCAGTCTGTCAGTGTCTACCTCGCGAGAATCAAATTACGGGCTGCGCCCGTAAAACAGAAACCCAGAAAATATGGGAAAATATTGTGCATCCTGTTATTTGTGTATGCATTTACTTGTGTGTCCCAGGGCCCCCCTTCATGAAGGCTGGATCCAGCCCGAGTGAGATTCTATTAGAGCTTGGTCGAGGCCTGGTAGGACGCAGTTAGAGTTTGATTTAGCTATAACCGGATTCTATCAGAGCTGGGTCGAGCCTTGAATAGGATTCGATGAGAGCTGGATTCAGTCATCGGAGGTGAGGGGGCGAGATCGAAGTGGAATTGAGAGTTTCCCGCCAGGAAATCGGTTTCGATTTCGGGTTCGTGTCGCACATGCGAGCGAGGCGAAGCTGAGCTGGGTGGGCGGGCGAGAGGAATGACCCCTCCTCTGGTTATGGCTCGGCGAGGACAGAAGTCGGCCCCCCTCGGGCCGCGTGGCGGGCGGTTGCCAGGGGTGTCCCGCCGTGGTATCCCGATGGTGTCCCGTGTTGTCTCGACTGGTGTCTTAATTGGTGTCTCGATTGGTGTCCCGATGGTGTCCCGGTGATGTGTCGACGGTGCCCCGCGGTGTCCCGCCGTGGTGTCCGGATGGTATCACGTAGTGTCCCGCGGTGTCCCGTGGTGTCCCTTTATGGTGTCCCCTTGTGGTGTCACGTGGTGTCTTGTGTTGTCCCGCGCTGTCCCGCGGTGTCCCGTGAGATCGATAGTGAGATCGTTCGTGAGGTCCATCGTGAGATCGGAGGTCGGTATTGAGTTCGATAGTGGGATCGATCGTGAGATCCATACTGGAACCGATAGTGGGGTCAATAGTGAGATCGATAGTGAGGTCGAAAATGACATCGATAGTGAGGACGATAGTGAGATCGAAAGACAGATCGATAGTGAGATCAATGTCGAGATCGATTGTATGATCGATAGTGGAATCGATACTGATATTGATACTCATTTCGACAGTGAGATCCATAGTGAGTTCGATAGTTACATCGATGGTGAGATCGATAGCGGAATCGATAGTGAGAGCTAAAGTAAGGTCGATCGTGAAAAGTGATAGTGAGATCGTTCGTGAGATCGATCGTGATGTCGGAGGTTGATAGTGAGTTCGATAGTGAGATCTATCGTGATATTGCTAGTGGGATCGATAGTGGGGTCAATAGTGGGATAGATAGTGAGGCCGATAGTGAGATTAATAGAGAGATCGATAATGGTATCAATAGCGATATCGATTGTGAGAGCGATAGTTGGATGGATCGAAATATTGATAGTGAGATCGATAGTGGGACCGATAGTGAGATCGATAGTGGTATCGACAGTAGTGTCGATATTGAGATCGATAGAGTGGTCGATTGTGAGGTCGATTATGAGGTTGATTGAGTGAGACGTAGGTTCCTCCTCTCGCCCGAACCTCCTTATCACCCGAAGGGTGGTCATATAGGCAGCATTCCATTAGAGTGGGACTGAGCCCGACTAGGATGCTAGTAATCTCTCATCGAGCTACAGTGAGATTTTATGAGAGCTGGATCGGGCCTCAGGAGGATTCAAGTTGAGCTGGATCCAGCCATCAAGAGATTTATTCAATGCTGTATCCGGCCTAACTAGGATGGTATAACAGTTGGATCTTGTTCTAGTCGGATTCGATTGAAGCTTGATTTGATCGAGCACTCAAACCCCTTGGACAGGGGGAGGGAGGGTGGGCGATTCGACCCCCTTTGAAGGTGGGCTGGGGCAAATAAAGAGGCCGATGTCCGGCTCCCCCCTGCCCCCTGTTGTCCAGGCCTTTCAAATGTTTGGCGCGGGGAGGGGCAGTTCCGACGTGTCCAGGGATTTGTCCCAAGCAAGCGTCCACGAAACGCGCTACCTCTCCCTCTTACATATATGTATTAAGACCTACACATATGCTTATGTACATATATACACATACATTTATGCATACCTATACGACCACCCTTCGGGTGATAAGGAGGTTCGGGGGGGAGGAACCAACGTCTCACTCGATCGGTCGCACTATCGATCTCACTATCGATCTCACTATCGGTCTCATAATCGATCTCAAATTCGGTCTCACTATCGATCCCACTATCGATCTCACAATCGATCTCACAATCAACGTCATCATCATCATCAACATCATCGTCATCAACGTCATCAACATCATCATCATCGAGTCTCGATGATCATCATCGTCCCCAACGTCATCAGTGTCATCAACATTATCAACGTCATCAACGTCATCAACCACATCAACATCATCGTCATCAACATCATCAAGATCATCGTCATCAACGTCATCAACATCTCGATGATCTAGACACCACCATCATCATCATCACCTCATCACCATCATCATCAACATCATCATCATCACCATCATCATCATGGGGATACCATCATCGTCACCATCATCAACATCATCATCGGGACACCATCATCATCGGAACACCACCATCATCATCATCACCGCATCATCATCATCATGAGCAACATCAACATCATCATCATCAGCAACATGACCATCATCATCATCATCATCATCATCATCATCGTCATCGTCATCGTCATCATCATCATTATCATCATCATCGGGACACCATCATCATCGTAACCATCATCATCATCACCTTTGTCATGGGGACACCATCATCATCATCATCAACATCCGAATCATCACCATCATCACCATCATCGGGCCATCATCATAAAAATCATCATCATCACATCATCATCCTCATCATCAACACCGTCATCATCATCGGGACACTATCATCGTCATCATCATCAACATCATCATCATCACCATCCGGACACCATCATCATCATCAACAGCATCATCATCAACCTCATCATCACCATCACCATCGGGACACCATCATCATTATCATCGGAACACCACCACCATCATCATCTCATCATCATGTCATCATCGTCAACATCATCATGATCATCAACATCATCATCGTCATCATCATCACCATCGGGACACCATCATCATCAGCAACAGCATCATCATCAACATCATCATCACGGAGCACCATCATCAAAATCATCATCACCTCATCATCATCCTCATCATCAACACCGTCATCATCATCGGGACACTATCATCGTCATCATCATCAACATCATCATCATCACCATCTGGACACCATCATCATCATCAACAGCATCATCATTAATCTCATCATCACCATCATCATCGGGACACCATCATCATCATCATCATCATCGGAACACCACCACCATCATCATCTCATCATCGTGTCATCATCATCAACATCATCATGATCATCAACATCATCATCGTTATCATCATCACCATCGGGACACCATCATCATCAGCAACAGCATCATCATCAACATCATCATCACGGGGGCACCATCAGAATCACCACAATCACCATCATCATCATCATCATCATCATCGTCAACATCATCATCATCATCATCATCATCGGGACGCCATCCTCATCACATCATTATCATCATCAACAACATCATCGACATCATCATCATCATCATCATCATCATCATCATCATCGTCATCATCATCATCATCATCAGGACACCGACGGGACACCGGCGGGACACCGGCGGGACACCGCGCGGCACCGGACGCTGGAAGGGAGACTTTTGGTCCGGCCGCGCCTCAGCCACAGCGGGACACCGGCGGGACACCGCGCGGCACCGGTTGCCAGAAGGGAGACTTTTGCTCCGGCCGCGCCTCAGCCACAGGAGACTTTCTTCTCGCCCGCCCACGCAGCTTCGCCTCGCCCACACGCACGGCACGCACGAACACGAAACCGAAACCGATTTCCCGGTAGGGGGGCTCTCCGTTCCACTTCGATCTCACCCCCTCACCTTCGATATACGTTCGTTCCAGTGCAAGCTTGGCCAAACACATGTGCAAGATTTCGGATTGGAGACGTCTTTGGTTTAGTATCAGAGCCTGCTCATTCCTGTCTTCACTTTCCCGTCCATTCTTCCTCTTCACCCGACCGCCTTATCAATTTGTCAACATAGAGCTCGAGGCCAATGTTCTGTTTAAACATGTGTCTTCGGGGGCGCCAGCGATGACGTGCCAACGTAATTCCTCTAAGGACCTGGTAGGGGTCTTTTCGTTGGGCTTCTCTCTGAGCAAATTCAGGTCTCAAGACACATTGCACCAGAGAGGTGGATCCGAAATAAGTATTTTTTCAGATGCGATCTTCCGAGTCTGACTGGAAGACCCTACGGGATTGCTGCTGCCGGATCAGAGGCGACCCAGGGTTCTTCCAGACTTCAGCGTTCGTTGCCCCTGGCGCGGGGCTCTACATCCCACAGCCATGCTCAGCCCTCGCAGCAGATCTTGGAAGTGTCCGTCCCGGGAGGGAGGGGGAGGACGCAGAGGCAAAGGAGGGAAAGTGAAGAGACATCGTTCGAACGGAAGGAAAGGGAGGAGGACGAGGACGATGCGGATATCCTTCGAGATTGAAGGGGAAATGGGAGTAGGACGAGGAGGAGGAGGAGGAGGTGGAGGAGGAGGAGTTGGACGAGGAGGAGGGCAACGACGATGACGACGACGATGCGGAGGAGGGGGAGGAATGGGAGAGGAAGGAAGATCGAAGAAGGCACAAATCTGCAAAACCGTCAGATGACGGAGGTCCGCGCAAATTTTTTGGGTCGGCTTTGCCCCCCCCCCCCGTTGACGGCGCCTCAGGCGCCGCGCGCTCCGCGCGCCAGGGATGGCGTTCGTGTACCGATCCAAGACGTGCGCGCTGGACCTCCGAGAGTGTCTGTTTGCAGTCGTTCGTCTGATTCTGATCCCAGCATGTTGGACGTCCGCACGGCCCCGAAGCCCAGATGACCCCCCGCGAGGCCCTCACGGGAAGGGGAAGATGGCCATGAGCAGGAAGGAAGGGGTGTCTTACGAATTCCTTCTCCTCTGCGAGGAACTCCGGATGATTTTCATCGCCGGTGTCAACAAGGCTGTGGATGTCGTTATCAGGGATCAGGGTTTTGTGGATGCCATGTTCGCTGCGTATAAGTGAGGGTCAGCAGCTACATCGGTGGATTGACATGCTGCACACACCGATTTACCGTGTGCGACCAGGAATATTGTAATGGCCTCCGGCCTGTGCCGCCGATCCGGGGGGCTCCGGATTTGGTGATCTTGGATTCGTCAGGGATGCTGTTTGGGAGGGAGGGCGCTTTTGGAGTCGTCAGGGACGCTTTTTAGAGATGACGTGCCCTCTGGGGGGGGGCCTGGAGCGGTCCCGGGGGCGGGTCCAGGAGGTTCCGAGGGGAGGGTCTTGGGGGCGGTAGCGGCTAGATCTGATGGGAGCTCCTTGCAGCCTCCAGAAACAGTTTGGGGATGCGCCCTCCCCCCTCCCCCCTTTCCTTGGGAGGGGTCCGAGGGGAGAGTCCTGGGGGGGGGTCCCTGGTACCCCCCGAAACCGCCAGATGGAGGACCCCCCCCTCCCCTTCCCCGGGGGGGTCTGGGGAGGAGGGTTCCGAGGGGAGAGTCCTGGGGGGGGTCCCTGGTAATTATCCCGCCGAAGCATTGTGGGGATGCGCAGATCATTAAGAAAACGCCAGATGGAAGACCCCCCCTCCCCTCCTTCCCCGGCAGAGCCAAACCAGCGACGAGGAATATTTGCTCGCGTGCTCGCGCGGGCCGTGCATTCTGATTTTTTATTTTTGCTTTGATCAGGGCAGCGATTACCAGGTATGTCTGTTCGTTGATACTTTACGCCGTTGGGTGCCTACTGTGCGTTTGCTGGGGGCTGTTTTTGACGGCGCCTCCTGGTGAACGCCGACGTCCCACAGTTCAAATGTTATTTGCTTTACCGCAATCGAGTTCCCAGCGACTACGTGTCGTTGCCACTTCTCTTTTGTTCTCGTCCGCATCGTGACTGGCCGTCGCCGCGCCGTGCTATGCTTTTCCTGCCGCCGATCGCTCTACCCCGATGCGAGGCATACGGCGACCGAGTCCTTCCACTCAGATCAGCTCCTGGAGGCTGAAGAGGGGGGATAAGGAACTGGCAAGGGATCAAGAGTTAGAGGAGGACAAGGTACACACAGACCGCTACCCCTCGGTCGTTGCTCTGCTCGTGGGGCCTCCTGGGAGTCCGCCGTCGCCACCGCCAGAGTCGCCTCGAAATTCTGGTCACAACGCACCCTGTGAGAGGGCTTGGGGAGCAGCGGCATCGACACCGCTTGTTTTCCCAAAGAGGAAGCGGCACGGGATCGAGAGGGCGAGGAGGACGGAGGGTCCGGGAGGGCACGGACACGATGGGGCAGGCCAAGCTCGACACGCATTGTTCCCTGCGCCAGGAGGGCGGCATGCGGGAGGCCGTCCGAGGGCAGGCGTGGACGGAGGCCCCCGAGCGCCTCCCACGAGCCACGGCACGGCCTGGTGAGGGGCGGCCGCAGCGGCACATCGGCATGCTGAGGTCGGGCATGTCTCCACACCGGCGGATTTTGGACGAAAGGTTCATTACTCCGACGGTAGGACCCCGCAGGAGAATCGATTTGGCCTGCCTCTCGCCTTTTCTCTTCTTCGTCTGGCGGAGGCTTCCTTCAGCCCTCTCCGTCCTCCTCCTCCTCCTCCTCCTCCTCCTCATCCGTCTCCTCCTCCTGTTCCTTCTCGTCCTATTGTTTGCATTTCTCATCATCTTCCACCTCCTCCTCCTCCGCCTCCTCCACTTCCCCCCTCTCCTCCTCATGTTCCTCATCATGTTCGGCCTTTGCCTTGCCCTCTACCTCCTCCTTCTCCCCCTCCTCATCGCCGCCCCGTTTGTTCTCCTCCTGCACCTCTCCTTTCTCCTGGCACGGGCGCGCGCGTAGATGTTCCTCGGCGCCTTCGCCGCCACGCCTGGCAGGGCCGCGTTCTCCGACGGCGAAATCGCGTAGCCGTCGGGGACAGCCCCGCGGGCCAAGCCGTCGGGACAACCCCGCGAGCCGCTGGCGCGCGAGACCAAGCCGTTGGGACAACCCCGCGGGCTCCGAGCGGGGCGCCGCCGCACTCAGGCGGGGGGCAGCACGAAACCCAGCTCTGCCGCGAGCTGCCCCGCCTCTGCCCTGGAGCTCTCCGCTCTGACGACGAACTCCGGGAGCGCCTTCCGCAAGGATGCCGGCGGCCCTCGTTCCAGGAACTCGCGGCGGCGGCGGCAGGATCAGCATGTTCCGCATGCGCGTGGGTCGGGGGAACATGACGTAGAGCTCGGGAAAACATGGCGTAGAGGTGCAGCCACCACTGCTCGTCCGACGTGCCCGTGCAACCAGCGTCCTCGTCCTTCGCGCAGTGCAAGGTGACACCCTTGCTCAGCGTCTGGCCCTGCGACATCGCGGAGGTGAGGTACGACGCGTGCGTCGTGGTGAACCCCGAGCGGCGCGCGGCGTGCGGCCCCGAGCTCTGCCACGTGAGTTCCTGCTCGCTGGGCCTGAACATGAGCAAGCTCCTCGCCCGCGCTTCGGCCTCGCCGTCGTCGTCAGCGCCTTGGGCGCCCTGTAGCAGCACCCCGGCGATCTCCTGGTATATCGGAGACTTTTTGAAGCCGTGCATGTGCAGCCGGATTCCGCGTGGTAGGTAGCGGGGGCGGAAAAGCTGGCCCGGCGAGCGCTCCTCGCACCGCTGCTCGTCTTCGGGGTGAGGTTAGAAGGGTACGATGGTGTCCGTTGCTCCTTCACGAGGCCCGACTTTTTCTTCAATTATCCCTGCACTGCCGTGAATCGCGTATCCATTCCGACGTGAGCTGGTAAGACGCCGTGGATATCCCCCGTCTTGCGCACGCTCGGGGCGCTCAGGGGGCGCAGGCCCGCGTCGGGATCGCCTTGGATCGTGTTGCACTCGTCCACGGCCTGCAAGAAAACAAGGGCGCGCCCAGACGCGGCGCGTCGCGACGAGCGCGCGTGTTGATTCACCTCGCCAGCGTCTGCCAATAGCCAGCGTCTCCCAATAGATGCCCATGCCGTAGCCGAGCCGAAAGGTCTCGCGCTGGTGCCGAGGGTCCAGGACGCCGTGGCTGTCCGAGGCCATCGTCGTTTTCCCACGCGGACCAGAGTTCTGGTGGGAAGGATTTGCCCTGGCGCATGCAGCCCGAGAGCGTGATCAAAGGGTCCCTGGGTTCGATGCGCATCGCGCCTATCAGTTCGGAGACGCCGGGGATCTGACAGAAAACCTTGATAGCGTGCTGAATCTCCACCGTCGGCGGCTCCGCGTATTTTCAGGACCCGTCGTCCACGAATTCGTTGACGTCCGTCGGGGGGCCGATGCTGCCCGTGGGCTTCAGTTGCATGGCATCGCCGAGGTGGAACACGATGGGGACGCGCCCGAAGTGTTGGTGTGGCAGCTTGTGCGCGGATTCCTGCACGTCGTGCGTGTCACTGCGTTCGTTGCGTGCGCGGAGGTCCTGCGCGATGTACGGCGCGGCCGCCACCCGCCTGATATTTCCTCCAAGTCCACGCCGCCATGCCTCAGGGGCCCCAAAAGGAGGACTGTTACAGGATCCCGATGGCCCGCTCAAGACATGCGCGATGGGCCCCATAATTAGGGAGAGGGCTCCCGCCTGAGACTTCCTTCGAAATTCAGTCACATATGAGGTTACCGTCTGATACTTCCTCCATATTCAGGCCTCAGGGGCCCCAAAGGGAGGACAGCTACAGGATCCCGATGGCCCGCTTGGATAGAACAACGTGAGCTGCGGGCCCCGTAGGGGGGGGCTGCTGCCTGAGACTTCCTTGCAATGCACTCAGACGGGGTTCCCGCCTGATACTTCCTATATATTCAGGCCTCAGGGGCCCAAGAGTGACGACAACTACAAGTCTGACGGCCCGCTCGGATTAAAAACATGAGCGGCGGGCCCCATGGGGAGGGGGCTCCCGCCTGAGACTTCTTTGCAATTCGCTCACATACGAGGCTCCAGGCGGATACTTTCCCCAATATTCAGGCCTCAGGAGCCCAAAAGTGACGACAGACACAGGAAGCCGCTGACCCATTCCGGATTCGAAAATGAAGCGCGGGCCCCATAAAGAATGGGTTCCAGTCTGAAGCGCTTTTGCAATTCACTCACACACGAGGTTCCCGCCTGAGACTTCCTCCGATAATGATGACGATGGTGATGGGTGATGGTGTAGTGATGGTGACGATGGTGGCGGGTTATGGGTGATTATGGTGACGATGGTGATCGGTGGTGGTGGTGGTGGTGTCCACTCACAGAAGAGGCTCCCACCTGTGACCTCCTCAAGCTGAGCGTGTGGGTGTGTGAGGGAATGTCTGCGATACTGACGATGGTGCCGGTGGTGTTGTGATAACGATGAGGAACACTGATGAGTAGTAGTTGTAAGTGAACGACTGAGCCAATTAATTGGGAAAAGTGTGAGTGAGTGAGTGAGCGAGTGAGTGAGTGAGTGAATGAGAGCGGCCGAGTGAGTGTGAGTGACTGTGTAAGTGATGTTGTGTTGATATTGTGATGATGCTGTGAATGTGTGGGTGTGAGAAAAGAGGGGATGTTCCTTCCATCCTGTTCTTGCGCGAGATGCCCAGAGACAAAGAAACCTACTTGGGATGAGGCGAAAATGAAGATTGCTACAGGTTTTACGACGACCCGCTCGGATTACTCCTTTGGTCTGCGGGCCCCATACGGAGAAGGTTCCCGCTCGAGACTTCCTCACAATTCGCTCACAGACGAGGCTCCCGTCTAAGACGTCCTCCATATCTAGGCCTCAGGGGCCCAAAAGTGTCGACAGCTACAGGATCCCGATGACCCGCTCGGATTAAACGTATGACTGGCGGGCCCCATGGGGAGGGCGCTCCCGCCTGAGACTTCCTCGCAATTCACTCACGGACGAGGCTCCCGCCTGATACTTCCTCCTTGTTCAGTCCTCAGGGGCCCAAAAGTGACGACAGTTACAGGATCCCGATAACCCGCTCGGATTAAACATATGAGCGGCGGGCCCCATGGGGAGGGGGCTCCCGCCTGAGACTTTCTCGCAATTCACTCACAGACGAGGCTCCCGCCTGATACTTCCTCCATATATCCAAGCCTCAGGGGCCCAAAAGTGAGGAAAGCTACAGGATCCCGATGAACCGCTCGGATTAAACATATGAGCGGCGGGCCCCATGGGGAGGGGGCTGCTGCCTGAGACTTCCTCGCAATTCACTCACAGACGAGGCTCCCGCCTGATACTTCCTCCATGCTCAGTCCTCAGGGGCCTAAAAGGGAGGACAGTCACAGGATCCCGATGACCCGCTCGGATTAAACATATGAGCGGCGGGCCCCATACGAGGCGGGTTCCTGCCTGAGATTTCTTCGCAATTCACTCGCGGACGAGGCTCCCGCCTGATACTTCCTCCATGTTCAGTCCTCAGGGGCCCAAAAGTGACGACAGTTAGAGGATCCCGATGACCCGCTCGGATTAAAACCATGAGCGGCGGGCCCCACAGGGAGGGGGTTCCCGCCTGAGACTTTCTCGCAATTCACTCACAGTCGAGGCCTGATACTTCCTCCGTGTCCAGGCCTCGGGGGCCCAAAAGAGACGACAGTTACAGGATCCCGATGACCCGCTCGCATTGAACACACATGAGCGGCGGGCCCCAAAGGGAGGGGGTTCCCGCTTGAGACTTCCTCGCAATTCACTCACAGACGAGGCTCCTGCCTGATACTTCCTCAAGTGTGGGTGTGGACGATGATGACACTTGTGATGGTGCTGGTGGTCACTCACAGCCGAGGCTCCCGCCTGAGACCTCGTCAAGATGAGTGTGTGTGTGTGTGTGTGAAAATGACGATGTTGGCGATTGCGCCTCACAGCCGAGGATCCCGCCTGAAACCTCGTCAAGATGAGTGCAAGTGTGTGCGTGTGTGATGATAGCGACGCTGACGACGGTGTTGTGATCATGATGATGGTGATGGCGATGCTGAGTGATGCGTAGTAGTTGCGAGTGAGTGATTGAGTTGGGAAACGAGAATGTGTGCGAGTGTGTAAGTGATGATGATGCGGTGTTGATGTTGATGTTGATGTTGATGCTGGTGATGCTGATGATGGTGATGATGATGATGAATATGATGATGATGATGATGATGATGCTGATGATGATGATGATGATGATGATGCTGATGATGCTGATGCTGATGCTGATGCTGATGCTGATGCTGATGTTGTTGATGTTGATGTTGATGTTGATGTTGATGATCATGATGATGATGTGAGTGCGTGAGTGTGTAAGTGTGTGAGTGAGAAGGGAGGGGGTGCTCCTGTTCCTGCGCGGGGTGTCCAGAGAAAACAAGAACCCCACTGTGGATGAGGGGAATGAGTTAGAGTGGTCGAGTGAATGTGCGTGAGTGTGTAAGTTATGTTGTCTTGATGCTGTGATGATGATGTGTGTGAGTGTGTGGGTGAGAAGAGATGGGGTGCTCCTTCCGTCCTGTTCCTGCGCGGGGTGTCCAGAGAGAACGAGAACCCCACTTGGGATGTGGGGAAACATACTAAGAGAATGTTCAAACATTGTCAAAGCAAATCGAACAATCGTTCCCATACCATTACTTGACTATTGGATGTTTCTCCTGTAGAGGGACAGGCCGTAGCAGGAGGATCGGAGGGTCACGGAAGGCGCCATGTGATGATGGGGGGGGTCGGAGGGAAAGCAGAGGCCAGAGCACAAGTTGGATGAGCTGGGGGTGGGAGCAGGAGACGGAGGAGGATCAGGAGGAGGGTGAGAGGATGTGGGGAGGAGGGGTATGAAGAGGATGATATGGACGAGGAGTTGGAGGAGTGGGAACAGGTGAAACAGGTGGCGGAGGCGCATGCGGAGAAGGTTGACGAGACCTGAGGAGGCGGAGGATGTGGAGGGGGCGGAACAAAAGCTGGAGTTGGGGGCGGAACAACAACAGGAGCAACGGTGGAAAGGGGAGCAGGAGGGAACGGAAGGCGGGGGATGTTGAGAGGGTTGAGGGAATGTGGGGGATGCAGGGGCGGGTACGAGGATGGGGCGACAGTGAAGGCGGTCCCGCGCCAGGCACGCCTGACATGACGTTGGAGGACACGACTTGTTTTCTTGAGGCCCGCAGCTTGGCCAGTGCGCCGCTTCGGCGCGGAGATGGATGGCCCCCCTCCTCTCATTCCTTTCTCCGTCTCCCCCCCCTCCCATCTTTCGCTCATCCTTCCCGGTTCCACCCGATCACTCCTTTCTCCCTCCTTTTCTCCCCCGGCCTCCCTCTTCTCGCCCTCCCTCCTTTTCCCCTCCCTCTTTCTTACATGTACTCGAAATGCGTACGTACTTCTCTCCTCTCACGTGCTTACAGTTTCCCGCCATCTCCGTGTACTATTTTTACACGCGCAGGATTTCATGATTCGATGTGTATTGCTGGTGTTTCATTCGATACGTTTTCGGCGTTTCACAGCGGTGCTCCAGCTGCAGCGTCGGCCTCATCTTAGGATCGGCGCTTTGCTACCGTTATTCAGAATGAAACGTTCGCCCCAGCGAGGGCCACATTTTCTCGTCGTTGTCGCCACCCTCCTTTTTGTCTGCTGCCGTTCCCTAATTCGTCCTCTTGATCCTCCCACTCCTCCTCCTGGTCTTGCTGCTGCTGTTCCTCCTCCTCCCTCATCCTTTTCCTCCTGCTCGTCCTCAGTGCCCATCCACCATCTCGTCCTTCCCCCACGCACCCAGCTCCGCTTCCAGAGTGTGCCTGCCACGATCTGTGGGGTCAGCTGGGAGGTTTCAGTTCCGCTATGCTGCCCGTCGGCGGAGGGAAAGAAAGACAGCGCACTCTGAAGGGAGCGGTGGGATGGGCAGGCGGGCGCGAGCGCACCTAGCTTGCCTCCCTCCCCCTCCCTTCCCAGAGGGCAGAAAATCCACCCCCATAATAGCCACCCCGACAAGTGAAGCCGTTTAGTAAACGCACCCAGGGAAGGAATCGAACAGGGCAGGGCTGTTTGGTAAACGCCTGGGGCCGTTCCGTAAACGCCAGTTGTCGGGTCTGGGTGGCCTTCCATCCCTTGAGTTTCCCCTCCCTTGAGTTTCCCCTCACTTGCTTTCCCCTTCCCCTCCCTTGAGTTTCCCCTCCCCTATGGTTTCCCTCCCTTGAGTAAACGCAGCCCTTGAGTTTCCCCCCTTTGCTCTCCCGTGCGCAGCTGAACCACGTGATTGCTGCTCTCCGCTCGCTCTCCCCCGCAGACGGCCCGGGAGCCGCGCGCCCCCCTCTCCGCGCAACCTGCTCTCTCTGCACAGGGCGGGCCCGCGAGTCGGCGTCGACTCGGTGCTGCTGCTGCTGTTCCAAGCGGGCCGCCCTCGGCGCTTTCCCAAAGGGGTGCTCCCGCGGCAGGGGCCTCACTGGAGGACCGGGGCCGTCGCTCCAGTCCTTCATGGACTGGCGCTCTCTCGCCCCGCGCGCGGGCCGCGCTCCCGGATCCAGGGTCCCTCCTCGTCGTGCCCCCCATGCAGTGGGGGCCTACGCCAGGAAACACCCTGCTTGCCTCCAGGGTGCCCTGGGTTTCTTGGGTTTCGATGTCTTTGCCATGGAAATCGTGACGCTCCCACGCCAGGCGAAGGACCCAACCATATGCAGTTGTGGGCACCGCAATTGTGAATATCTTCTTCGGTGAAGCTCCCTATGGGGCCACGAAGCGCTGCGGGGGGGGGTGAAAGTGATGACGTGTGCATGCACGTGCTTGCCCCTCGTTTCATGATGTACTGACTGTGTGTAACATTGTGGCTCAGGGCCCTTGAGCTTTAGGCTGCTCAGCGGAAGCCTATAGCATATCATATCGACATCCGCCGCAACGGATCAGAAGTTGCATTTTCACATTGGCAGCGGAGCAGTTCGAGCCGCGGACTGCAGATCTCGTGCTTTCGAGTGGCCCAGCGGATTGACCGCTATAAGGTGGATTGCCCATCTAGCAATATTCTAGTGGACGCTGGAGGAGAAGATCTGGACGCCCTACACGTTTCTGAATTACAAGTAGTTCGTCCAGTTCTCCAGCGAGATGGCGCCAAAGGCGGCGCCCGACGATGATGAGACGGGTACCAACGCTGGTCCCAACTACAACGTGAAAGTGCCGAGCTTCGACCCACAAACGATGACTATGAAAGACTTCCGGAGACGAGTGGCAGTATTCAAGATACGCACGCGAGTGCCAGTGGAGAAGCAAGCAGCAGAGTTGCATGGAGAGTTGAAGGGCAACGCCTGGATTCACGCCGAAGATTTATATCCAACAACTCTGCAGGACGAAGAAGGGATCCAGACGCTGCTCGATTTCCTAGCGGAGAAGTTCGACGATGAGAAGGTCATAGAGCTCGGCGCAGAGTTGAAAACATTCTTCACTAAGATGCGAAGAGAGAATGGAGAAGAGATGAGAAGCTATATCAACAGATTCGACACGCAGGTATCGAGATTGAAGACGTTGAGCATCGAGTTTCCAGATCAAGCATTGGCGTGGCTGTTTATGGGGTGGCTCGGATTGCCGCCCGATCGTGAAGCAGGAATTTTGAATGCCAATCAGAATAAGTATGAGCTGAAGCCCCTGCAGAAGCAGACGTTGCTCAACGCAAAGGACGCAAAGATGATGGATCGCACCAACCCTCGTCGTCCACCACAGGCCCCATCATCACAGCCGACGACAAGGCCGCAAGGCTACCGACCACAGCGGAGATGGGGAGCGCACATGACAGAGCAAGTGAACGACGAGGAGGTGACAAACAACGAGACGTTCGAGACAGAGGTCGACACGGAGGACGTGCCAGAGTAGCTTCTGGAGGAGCACGCCGACGCGGAGGCCGAGGTCTACAAGTTAGAGAAGATGCTTGTCCGAGCCAAGGATAGACAACGTGATGCGAAGCAAGCTCGAGGATTCCATCATCGAGATCGCATGCCGGGATCAAGCAAGGGCCGCTCGGGCAAGGGGCGCGATACCGGACGGGGTTCATCTTCCGGTGGGAAGGGTGGTGACCGAATTGCGAAGTTGAAGGCGCGAGCTACTTGTGCAGTTTGCCCGAGAATCGGACACTGGAAGGGAGACCCTGAATGCCCTGGACCACAGAAGAGAGTTCAAATGGCTGGAACTGAGGGTGATGATCACCAAGACGAAAGAGAGCGTCCAGCAGAAGGTTACTACACGACAAACATCAACTGGAACGACAAGGAGAAGCAGATTTCCGAGCAGAGTTTCTTTATCAACCCTGCGCGTCGAGAGACACGCAACCATATTCACGCCAACTTCCCGACCATGAATGTGGTTACGACTTCAAAGGAGGAGCTGTTGCAACAGTGTGGTGGTAAATTATTGCCAGATTCGTGCTGTGCCAAGGCCTTTGGAGGCCAAGTTTGGTATGCTGATATCAAGAGGCGTTTGGCCAAGCTGGGTTTACGACCGATCGAGATTGATGAGCACGAGATGTTTCGTTTCGGCGCTGGTAAGCCAGTTGCCAGTACGATAGCCGCCCTCATTCCACTCGCCATTCAGGGGCGACACCTCACGCTGAGGATTTCAATTGCGCCCTGCCTGGTGCCGGGATTATTATCTCAACGAGCGCTGGGACAGCTGCGAGCTGTGCGTGACCATGGCGAGGGAGCTGGCGAGAGTACCATGACGTTTCGAAGGCTCGGTTTGCAGGGCCTCGAGTTGGGGCAGACCAAGAGTGGACACCCCAGTTTCAACGTGCTTGAGTTCGACAGGGCCCGACTTTTCACAGCGGCTCCAGACGCGAGCCCCGGCCAGACAGATCAGGCTGCTTCCGCCTTCGCAAAGGTGGCGGGAGGTTCTGGAAAAGGAAAGTCATCAACATCACGAGCATCATAACATTCATCATGCGATTCAAGACGAGCCCGAAGATCAATCCGATCAATTACGAGGACAAAATCAAGCACAGCGAGTTCGATTCGAACGAGAGCTGGGCCAAAGCCAAGCGCAACATCAGCCGCATCATAGAGATCAGCCAAAACTGAAGAAGCCAGAGCCTGACGATATCGCCGATGATAAGCAGCAAGCAATAAACACAACAAGCAGAAAGACAACACCAATTCTCAAGACCCGCGAGGAGCTCAAACATAACAAACAGCCTGGGCAGCCATTGTGGGCTCAAACGAGTTCACAGGGTACAGCGCCCTCGACACGGGATGCCACCAGCTACCGTCCTCGCATGGATCTCGAATTGGGATATCCTGGACGTGGACACCAACAAGCGTTACAACACGGCCGTTCTAGTACGCTGGAAGCGCCTGTTTCGGTTTCTCTACGCAGCCGCGGTGATGGCAAGGGATCCGTCGGTGGGGCTGATTTTCCACAACGGGCGTCGTCTGGGAAGAGCCTCGTCTCTCGAGACCGCGAACCCCGAGCGCCGCGTCGCCTGCTGCCGCTGGGCAACATGGTGAAGATCGAGCTCCAGGACGAGATGGAGGACAACGACTTGGAGTATCAAGGAATGAGCTGCCGGGAGATGCGCGTCATTCTCAACGACAGGAGGATCCAGAACGGCCAAATCAAGAAGAAGTCTCCAGCTCTGGACCCAGACTTGAAAGGCATCGCCAAGATGAAGCGCGCGGAGCTGCTCGTGCTGGCCAGGAGAAAGGGCATCAAGGCCAGCGACGACATGCTGAAAGACAAAATCATATGCTTTCTACAGGGACAAGTTCCGAGAGCGATCAAGAAGGAAGAGCTGAAGGAGGAGGAAGCGCTGAAGCAGCTTTCGACTTCGAGGAGTGCTTTCAGCTTTCGCTCGGGGGCCTTCGCGGCCAAGCCGAGCACGGTCAGAGAGCCCGCGAGCTCCGCCGGCTCCGAGAACGACGCGGACCAGATCAGCGAGGAGGACTGTGTGACCGCCGAAAACCTCGGAGTGGAGGAGGACCAGCCGTGGGAGATGATCGCACCGAGCGGGAAGAGTCGCCGGAGGGGCCGTGATTGAAGAGGAAGATGAAGCCAGGCCAGACCAAGCGCTTCAAGGATATGATCGGCAAGGCTCTGATGTTCCTCACGTGGCAGACGGCATCCCTTGGATCATTCTCGATCAAGCCTCTCTTCAACGAAGGGGGGGCAATCGCTCAAGACATGCGGGACATTTTCAG